CTTAAAAAACTGGGAATAGAACTGCCATATGACCCAATAGTCCCACTGCTGGGTAAACATCCTGAGGAAACCAGAATTGAAAGAGACACATCTACCCCAATGTTCATTGCAGTGCTATTTACAATAGCTATTTATAATATTTATAATGAAAGCAACTTAGAGGTCCATCGGCAGATGAATGGATAAGGAAGTTGCGGTTCATATACACAATGGAATATTACTCAGTTATAAAAAGGAACACATTTGAATCAGTTCTAATGAGGTGGATGAAACTGGAGCATATTATACAGAGTGAAGTAAGTCAGAAAGAGAAAGAAAAATACTGTATATTAGCTCATATGTATGGAATTTAGAAAGACGGTAATAACGGTACTACATGCGGAGCAGCCAAGGAGACAAGATGTAAAGAACAGATTTTTGGACTCACTGGGAGAAGGCAGGGGTGGGATGATTTGAGAGACTAGCATTGAAACATGTACATTACCATATGTAAAAATAGATGGCCAGTACAAGTGAACGCATGAAGCAGGGCACCTAAAGCCAGTGCTCTGGGACAACCCATAGGGATAGGGTGAGGAGGAAAGCGGGAGAGGGGTTCAGGATGGGAGGAACACATGTCTGCCTGTGACCGATTCATATTGATGAATGGCAAAAACCAGCACAATACTGTAAAGTGATTATCCTCTGGTTAAATAATTTTTTTAAAAGTCATAAAAAAAAGGTAACAAAATCCAAAGTTCCAATAAGAGCAGGGTAAGCATTTAAATTTCTGTTTCTATGAAATTGTCAGAGAATTTACTTAGAGTCTATCTTCTGAAGGAACATAAAACACTTTTACAATTCAATTTTAAAGGCACTAGGATCAATTTTTTAAAAAGTGTTAATTGTGAAGTTAGAGACTGTATCTAGTGCAATGATCAAGAGGATGGCCTTTAAATTAGATGCCAGTGGACTCCTGGATCGCTATTGATTAGCTGAGAACCAGGGCCAAGGCACTTAACCTCTTTAAGTCTCAATACCTTGTGAGTAAAAAGGGAATAACTGTTGAACCCAGTTTATAGGGTTGTTGTAAGTGAGGTGTAAAGGTTTAAAAGCTAAGGGTTTGGCATATACCAAGGAAACGCCAATAAATAGGAAAAATTTCCTAACAACAAATTTGAGGGTCTATATTTTGGCACACATGCATGCGTGCGCGCGCACACACACACACACACACACACACACACACACACGGCTTCTCTGGTGGCTCAGGCAGTAAAGAATCTGCCTGCAATGCAGGAGACCCGGGTTCCATTCCTGGGTCAGGAAGATCCCCTGGAGAAAGGAATGGGTACCTACTCCAGCATTCTTGCCTGGAGAATCCCATGGACAGAGAAGCCTGGCTGGCTACCCAGTCCATGTGGTCACAAAGAGTTGGACATGAGCGAGCAACTAACACACATACGTTTAAATTTTCAGTTATTTAAACTAGCTATATTTGTACACTGCACTTGGGCAACTGTTGTTATTATAACAGTGACCTCTGAAAACTATTTAGGGTCCATACTATAATTCTCTGAACAGGTCAGCCCATGTATAATGGGATGTTTTTGTAACCTCAAAAGCTGAACGTTAGAATTTGAAAACTTACCATGGCATGCAGAATTCTCGTCCTCGACAATTTGTGTTAAAGTAGGACATTAGTGGGAAACAGCAGCCCTTTTAACACAGTTAAGTATTTGTGAGCACAAAAATGAGAGTTATTTTGTTAGGAACCAAACAAGTACTTTTTTATTATTGATGAGCTTGTAAGTGTGTAAAGAATATTTAGCAATCACTATTGAAGATTAGGCTGTATAAAATGGTGTTGAAGCCTTTTAAATCCTCACCACAGGTTCTCTACTTTAGTTGTCAAAAATGCTGCATTTTAACACCAGAATGTGACCAGGAAAGACCTATTTGTTTAAGACCAAAATGTGATCAGAAAAGACCTAATTGTGGCCCACCACAATTCTGTGCAAGAATGCGCATTACACTACTCAACAGAAATGAGTTTGTGTAGCTAAATCTTCAACAGATGCTGGAGTTCTGGCACCAAAATGGGGTGGTCTGAGCCTGACTTTTGTATGTTAATATGCTTTCATAGCGAAGGTATGCGAATTAACACAGACTGAGACATTCTTGAAGAAAGATGTTTATCTCCTTATTGCCATCTGTGATGAATTGTTCAGAGCTAAAGGAACACCAGGCTTGAATCAAATCTCCCACTGCCCTATATAGTTTTTACAATCTCCTTTTCAATAACAAAAAGTAAGGGCAGCCTCACTGCCAGACCAGCACTTCTTCAGGAATCTTCCCATAAAATGTCAGGATAGAACCATCTATAATACAGATCAACACCATTGTTTTCAAACTAAGCACTCTAAAAAGTTGCTTGAACAAGAAAAGACAAATTTGCCAAGTTGTTTGGTATTTTGCAGTTAATGTAAGGTATACTGTGAAATGTGTGGCACTGAATATTACATTTTATCCTGATGTGTCTTAAGTTGGACTGGGTAAAGAGTGTTAGATGTTTGATTAGTGTCAATATGCAGGATGTTATGATTAGGTATGGTTGTTCTTTTAAATTACCACATTCTTTTTTGTATTGTTCCTTTGATCTCTGTAAGATAGTAAGAACATTTCTAATTTAAAATATATTGACTTCGACTCAAAAATTCATTTTCCTATTGCAAATTTACTGATATCTAAAATATATAGTTTATGTCTCCTGCATTGGCAGGTGGGTTCTTTACTATTGAGCCACCAGGGAAACCCTAAAATATATACCTAGACGGTTAAAAAAATCTGCAAAATATTGATGCCAACTCTGTCTCTTTTCCAAGTTGTATCTAATGGTAATTTGTCTTTTAAATTCTTGAATCTTAATTAAAGGTGATGGAACTGTAGGGGATGACTTTGTGTATACTTTTGAGAAATAGCAGGGAGACTGACCTTATAAGGTTCAGTTCAGTTAGTTCAGTCACTCAGTCATGTCCAGCTCTTTGTGACCCCATGAACTGCAGCACGCCAGGCCTCCCTGTCCATCACCAACTCCCGGAGTCCACCCAAACCCATGTTTATTGAGTCGGTGATGCCATCCAATCATCTCATCCTCTGTCGTCCCCTTCTCCTCCTGCCCCCAATCCCTCCCAGCATCATGGTCTTTTCCAATGAGAATCAGCTCTTCACATCAGGTGGCCAAAGTATTGGAATTTCAGCTTCAACATCAGTCCTTCCAATGAACACCCAGGACTGATCTCCTTTAGGATGGACTGGTTGGATCTCCTTGTAGTCCAAGGGACTCTCAAGAGTCTTCTCCAACACCACAGTTCAAAAGCATCAATTCTTCTGCATGCAGCCCTCTTTTTAGTCCAACTCTCACATCCATACATGACCACTGTAAAGACCATAGCCTTGACTAGATGGATCTTTGTTGGCAAAGTAATGTCTCTGCTTTTTAACATGCTATCTAGGTTGGTCATAACTTTCCTTCTAAGGAGTAAGCATCTTTTAATTTTATGGCTGCAATCACCATCTGCAGTGATTTTTGAGCCCCCCAATATAAAGTCAGCCACTGTTTCCACTGCTTCCCCATCTATTTGCCATGAAGTGATGGGATTGGATACCATGATCTTAGTTTTCTGAATGTTGAGCTTTAAGCCAACTTTTTCACTCTCCTCTTTCACTGTCATCAAGAGGCCGTTTAGTTCTTGTTCACTTTCTGCCATAAAGGTGGTGTCATCTGCATATCTGAGGTTATTGATATCTTCTCCTCTTTCACTGTCATCAAGAGGCCGTTTAGTTCTTGTTCACTTTCTGCCATAAAGGTGGTGTCATCTGCATATCTGAGGTTATTGATATCTCTCCCAGCAATCTTGATTCCAGCTTGTGCTTCCTCCAGCCCAGCATTTCTCATGATGTACTCTGCATATAAGTTAAATAAGCAGGGTGACAATATATAGCCTTGACGTACTCCTTTTCTTATTTGGAACCAATCTGTTGTTCCATGTCCAGTTCTAACTGTTGCTTCCTTACCTGCATACAGATTTCTCAAGAGGCAGGTCAGGTGGTCTGGTATTTCCATCTCTTTCAGAATTAGTTGCACTTTAATAATTATAGTTGAGCTAGCATTGGTTTTCTTGTTCTAACATTATTTTTGTCTTATCTGTGTAACATGGGATTGAGCCCATACTTTCTTTGTTTGTTTAATAAACACAGTCATTCTTACAAAGTTTGTTTATATTCCACTAATTCCATACCAATATTTTTTAAAAAAGGTTTTCAGCTATTGAGTTCTAATTTTTAGTATATTTGATGATTAATACTGTGGTTCCATAAAATGATTGAAGATCTTCAATAAAGGAAAAATTTAACATAAGCCTTCAGTATTTAAAGAAAAACTGTATTGTGAAATGCTCCTGACACTGTATATTTTGACAAGAACTGCTTTCTCTTAAATGTGTATAAAGTCAGGAGGCAAGTTTCTCAATATTTTAATACTCAGTTATTTTACCTGTCATCTTACATCAAACCATAATTTTCCTGTGGTAGCATTTAACTCACCTGACTCTAGCCACTGTTAATGTATTTCTGTAGCTTGTAAGACATCTAGTTATCACTCTGTCTATTTTAGCTTGTTTGTACTAATTATTTATTTTCATTTTCTCTAGGATATAGACCTGCAGCTAACTGGATTTGATTTGTAAGCGGGAAATGTACAGTCAATGGCCACTCTCACCACATTGCTACTATGGAAAACAGAATAGTCAATAGGATATGGTCTGATCAATAGTGATGATTGAAGATGCTACTTCAATACATGTGAAATCAATGGAGATACTGGCTGCACGAAGAGCTTTCTGAGCTTTTCTTGACAAACTTGCCTTTAAGAAATAAAGGTGTAGTCTACCAATATACGGTTTTTCTCAAGTGGATGCAAATACCTTGACTCACTGTAACCACACAACTAATGTGGGACCATGGCAGTGCCCAGATGCACGTGGCCAGATTACGTTTGGAGAGCAGTCATGGCCTGCTTGCTACACAGGGGCTTGGGTGCCTCGTTGACTCTTTGTGTGTTAAGCTGTTTACTTCACGCTGCCCACGTGCTCTCACAAAAATTGGATGATGCAGACCCACTGGTGACTACCAACTTCGGCAAAATAAGAGGGATCAAGAAAGAACTCAATAATGAAATTTTGGGTCCTGTTATTCAGTTTCTTGGTGTTCCATATGCAGCCCCGCCAACCGGGGAACATCGTTTTCAGCCTCCGGAACCACCATCTCCTTGGTCAGACATCAGGAATGCCACTCAGTTTGCTCCTGTCTGCCCCCAGAATATCATTGATGGCAGATTGCCGGAAGTCATGCTTCCTGTGTGGTTTACTAATAACTTGGATGTGGTTTCATCGTATGTACAAGACCAGAGTGAAGATTGCCTGTATTTAAACATATACGTCCCAACTGAGGATGGTGAGTTTACTACAGGAAAAACAGGGAGATATATTTATAATTCTCTTTTCTATTCTAACGATATTAATTCGTATGTCCTGATAGCATGCATGGCTTTTCCTGTTGGCATGTAGACATATTTTACATGCGTGCATGCTGCTCTGTTTATGTGTGTTAGTGTATCTGTTCTTATTTTTCCCTGTGCCTACTTCTTTTCTTTCCTCTGCAGCACGTATATTTAGGTAGAAATGGGTTCCTAATTTCCATTTCTTACCGAATGACTTCTGAGAAGATGCATCAACATCTCTCCATTGCATGTGCAGACTCAGCAAAGTTGGGGATCTCTCGCACCCCGTAAATGCAGGAGCATATTAAGTTAGATAGTGGTGTTGCATGTTCCGGCGGTCTGTGATGGAGCGCCATGTTATTTTCTAGTCTTCTATTCATTTTTCAGTAAAAAGAATATCCAAGGAATGTGCCAGAAAACCCGGCAAGAAAATATGTAGAAAAGGAGGTATGTATAAAAGTGGAAATGGAAAAATGGGGGAAACAGCTTGCAGAGGAGGAACAAGATATTCTCCCTAAGGATGATTTGCTGATGCTGGAAGTGAATGGCTAGGTGATACTTGGAATTTAATGAAGCCTGTCAAAGAGTAGGAAGATGGTTAAGGAGAGCTCTAGCTGACTAGACGTTGACAAAGCTCCTTGGTGGAGCCTTGTGTTGGTGCTGGTAGCATGGGCAGGATTTGAATCTCTGCTTTGAGTTTGGGTATAGAGAAGATACTTAGGTAATTACATTGCCGGCAGGGTAACCAAAGATGTTGCCTTCCCAGCTGGTCAACTTTGATTTCCGAACCTTTTTTTTTTTTTTAACAGATAATAGATTGCTGTTTCTTTTACAGGAAACAGGTCACAAAAACCTAGTTTTTGTTTGTTTATCCTTAGTTCTCTCTGAAGACCCTATGAACTTTCTAATATAAGGATAAATTTGCTGTAACTATTGGGTAATCACCATTATTAAGTAATGGTATATTTTCCCAGACAGTCTGCCTATTTTCAGTCACTCCTCCAGAAAAAAAAAAAGGGATTTGCAGCTTTTTATACTAAATATTTACAGTCTTAAAATTGCTTTAACATTTTTATATTTATGTTAAACAATTTAAAACATAGGGAAGAACATGATTCAGAAGCTACAATTAAATCAACCTTCAAATCATCCTCTAGCCAGATTGAGCAAATGTAGACACTGACAGCTGCAAGCTTGCATCTGAATGTAGCTTGTCCACACTCTGTTTTTATATAACATCCAGTAAATCACTCATAGGAGAGTATGATTTTCTCTGGCAGTAAATTATCTAAGTGTTATTTTGACCTTATTATAACTTTGCCGAATTTTCAATCTTCATACAGAAGTCATATTAATATTCTAGTGCTGTACATTCTCTCTCTGTATGCACTTCTAATCTCCTGGCTGGACCAAGTCAGATTTCATTACAACTTCCATGTCGGGTGGGGAGTGTCTAAACTGTTCGTTTTTACTGCGATTGCATTATCTGGAAGAAGCTTCATATAACCAAGTCCTCAATTGCAGATCAGAAGTACTTGCATTAATTGGAGTTTTGTTTTGTTTTTGTTCTTATTTCTTTGGTTAAACTCATAGAATGGGATTTAACCTTCATTTTATTATTAATGTCATGATTTGGGCTGAAAGAATAGTATACTTAAGAAGGTGGATATGGAGGCAACAAAGATGTTTTAAATAACTTAAAAAAAAAAAAGTCTCTTGTTTTTTTCCCAAATGAGAATAACTGCAGTAATTTACATGCTTTCAACTAATGTACAGTACTGCAGTGGTTATTATTATGCACCTTATCAAGCATGTGTAATTAGCTAAGTGACTTTCGCCTCCTATCACAAAGATGTTGATTCACAAAGTCATAAATAAAGATGCTATTGAAGAATGCATAAATAGAGCATAATACATAAAAATGTGTACAATCAAAAAAATGATAAGGACATCAAAAGGTAAGGTAGTGAGAAAATGACCTTCTCATACAACTTCAGAAGAAAATGGATTTGTTAAAAAATTATTTTTCATTGTCCTTTAGATTGTTGGTTCCATCTGCTTTATGAGACAGTTGGCAAAGAAGTATGTAGGCTGTGCTATTTACTTTGGCAAACTTTGAATTAATTTATAATTAGCCTGAGGACAAGATCTATAGATACCTACATCAGTCTGTGTGGTTTATAGTCCACATCTATAGTGTTTTTATATTAAGAATTATAAAAAATTGGTTTACTTTGGTATTTGCTATATTATTAATAAATAAGTTATGTTTACTTATTTGCCACTTGTATATTATCCTAGAATCTAAATAACAAGAATTGTTAATGTAATTTTTTATAGATAATAGTTTTTTAAAAAAGAAAATAAATTTTAGAGCTAGTCTTTTACATAGAGGAGTTGAATTTTTTCCCCAAACTTTCACCTTTTTTTTTTCCTTTTTTATCATGAAGTGTCTATTTTGGTCACTTCCAGAAATCATGTTTTCCTGGTTCAAAAATATTAATCATTTCATGTGTATGCATATACTAATATATGTATTGTATATAGACTGTGAGTTCTTCAACAAAATTCTGGAAGTTTATAAAGGATGGTTTAGGAAGTATAGGAGTAGTTGTGTTGCATTTTATCTAGGTACCAATAAGATTCTGGTTTATTATTCATCTCTCTTTTTTTAATTGTGTGTGGTCATCTGCAGAGGCAGATGGACTCCAATCCTGTGTCAATCTGTGTATGCTGTATTCATTCAAAAATATTCCTTAATTGCCTATTATAGGCACTGTCAGTAATGAATGAAACAAAGTTCTCTCTTCCTATAGAACTTACATTCAAGTAAGTTTACAAAGAACAAAGCATTTTCTACACTTTAATCTATATGAGAGGAAGAAATCTTTCTCTAAGAGATGCCTTGCTGTGATTTTTAAATAAAGTCTTTATAAGATTTTTTTTCCTGTGCAAGTGAAGAAAAAACCATATTTTTACCAATCAGCTTCCTCTCATTTACAACAGGTCCCAGTTGTACCCTTTAATCCATCTTTTTAAATTTCCCATGATAGTTTTAGCCATATGTTAATTACTCTCTAGATATTTCTTCAGGGTTTTATCCTTGCAAAATTGAAAGAAAGGATTAATGCTTAAAATGAGATGACTGCCAACACTTGGCCACATGGGCAGACGATATGTGATATAAATTGGAATTTGGATATAGAGGACTGACAATTTATCACCAAAACTTTATGAAGAAAGTATATGACTGTGCTTACTGTAGAAATATGAAAGTAGGTTCTGTGATTACTTTTATTTTTTATTTTTCCACTGATTCCAAAAATGTGGATATTCACCCTTACTATCTCCCATTTGACCACTTTCTTTTTTTTCATTTATTTTTATTAGTTGGAGGCTAATTTGTGATTACTTTTAAATAGTACATGTGTTTTCTCTCTGTCCAAAGATCCTGGCATAGTCCTCTTGACTGCAATCAGGAGTAGCTTTAATTTGCTTATGTTTCATTTTTGCTTTCTCTAGTTTGCTCTCTTGTGAGAGTTGCCAACAAACAGGAATGTGGTCAAATATTAGGTAGTAAACATGAGAAGGAAGAACAAGGGACCCAGAGAATCCACTGGAAATCAATTGGCTTACAGATACCCTAGAGATGTTTAGCTTTGCATTCTCCAGTACTTTGTTATTTGCACAGCTCTTGTGAGGTGAATGCAGAATCAGTTTTCATTTTTGCACAATTTTTTTAGCCCAGTTTTATTGTATAGAAAGCTAGAATCTCTGTATATTGCTCTGGTACAGTTCTTGACTCCTTGAGAATTTTATTCCTGATTTTCATAAATATTTTACTTTTGCATACTCTGTTCAGTAGTCTTTACCTGAGATACTATTGAATTCATTCAAGAGCCTTTTCCATAAAGTTAGGGTTTATTTGGTGGTTTATTGAACATAGAAACTGGTATTTTCCTAATGATATATGTATTTAAAATGACTATTATTGCTGTCAGTGTGTTCAGGATTTTAAAGAGGAATTATATTCCAGAATGTTCTTTCTTCATGCTTATGCAATTTTATCTAATTTATTTATTCACTTAACAAATATTTATTGAGTCCTTACTCTGTGTTGGTTAGGTTACCACTCTAAGCCCCCAAAATACATCAATAAAATATAAAAAACAAAAACATCTTTATCCTCTTGGAGCTTATATCTTAGTGTATGGGATACACTCAGGATGATAAACACAATAAATGACTAAATTTAAAGGGCTTAAAAAGATGAGCAATTAACAGAGTATGGAAGCTTCAGTGTCTTGTGGAACATGAAAATAATAGTATTGTCCTCTTTGGGGCAAAGACCTGAAGGAAATGAAATAAGTATCTGAGGAAAGAACACAGCAAAGAGCAAGTACAAAGGCATTAAGATTAGATTCTGCCTCCTGTATTTAAGGAACAACTGGGAGTATGGTAAATCTGGAAAGAGTATAGAGAGAGAGCAGCAATGATACTCAGAATGATCTGACTTTATATTATAAAGAGGTCATTCTGGCTGACATATTAAGAGTAGATTGTAGAAGAGTATGGAGAAACTGGGAGAACAAATAAGAGGCTGTTGTAGTTTGGATCAGACATCAGTCTGATCTAGGCACAGACCAGACAAGTAACAATAGAAGTGGAAGTCTTAATACATTACAGACATATTTCTTAATCATTTGGTTGTGGATTGTGAAAGAAAATGAACAGTCAGAGAAGATTCCTGGAGTTTGATCTGAATACCTAGAAGAATAGATTTGCCATCAATTAAGATGGAAAAAAAGCAATGTAGAATAGTTTTTTGCAGGGGCACAATAGAAGGATGATGTTTACTTTTGAACATGTTCAATTTGAGGTGACTCTTAGACAGCCATGTATAGATTTCAAGGGGCCAGTTTGACATTCAGTAGAGAGATATATGTGGAGATACAAATTTGGGAGTCTTATACTGGCCACCTGATATGAAGAACTGACTCATTGGAAAAGACCCTGATGCTGGGAAAGATTTAAGGCAGGAGGAGAAGGGGACAACAGAGGATGAGATGGTTGGATGGCATCACCGAGCTGATGGACTTGAGTTTGAGCAAGCTCTGTGAGTTGGTGATGGACAGGGGGTCGCAAAGAGTCGGACACGACTGACTGCACTGAACTGAATTGTGATTTAAAAGGTAAAATTTTAAAGTTGTGAGACTGAGAATAAAAGGAATTGAATGAAAATAGAGGAAAGCAAATGATACCAAAGATTCATCCATGGGCCATTCCAACATGAAGAGGTCTGGAAGAAGAGAAGGAAAGAATATGGAGACTAACAAAGTATTACATGTGAGATGAGAAGATGAGAAGTAAACCAAGATTTTTTTTTTTGTCCTAGAAGCTAAGTAAAGAAAATGCATCAAAATAGACAAGAGTGATTAATGCTACCA